CCGCCACACGCTAGTGAAGCCAGCTGTGTGTGAGGGTTTCCTCCGTGTGGGTTGGTTTTGTAGCATTCCTAAGCCTTGACTTCTGTCTGGGTCCCCGTGTTCCATCTCTTCTTGGTCTTGGGCTCTCAGAGTTGCTTTCCTCCTCTCAGAGTGTCCCCTCCAGGGACATTCACTGCACAAGGGCTGTGCATACTTTTCAGACCACCTAAAGCTTTGGAAAGATTTCATTTAGTCTTGAAGCAATTTGGTTTAAATAGCTATACTGCTCAACATCTCTTATCATAGGGGATATACAAATCAAAACCGTAATGAGATACCACCTAACCCTAGTCAGAATGGCTAAGATTAAAATGATGAAGAATGCTAAGTGTTGGTGAGGCTGTGGAGAAATGTGAACCCTCCTGTAGTGTTGGTGGGAATGTAAATTAGTATAGCCACTATGAAGAACAATATGGAGATTCCTCAAAGACCTCTAATTAGAAATAACATATGATCCAGCAATTCCACTCCTGGGTATCTACCCAAAGGATAGGAATGCACTCAGTTGGAAAAACACTTGCACATCCATGTTTACTACGACATTATTCGTAATTGCTAAGACATGGAACCAACCCAAATGTCCATGAACAGATGAATGGATTAAAAAGTGTGGCACATACACACTATGGAATACTACTCAGACATAAAAAAACAAGATGAGACTCTAGCATCTGATAGAAAGTGGATGAATATGGAGACTTAACTGCTAGACGAAGCAAGCCAGACTATGAAAAGGAGGCATTGTATGTCCCCTCTAAATATACACGGAATGCCTGCGCTCTGGCAGAAACTGAAAGACCGGAAGGTAGAAAGGCATGGGGAGCACCTGTGGCTATTAGACAGTGTGGTAGAAGGGTGGGGAATGTGGGAGAGTGAGGAGAAGGGAATCCAGGGTGAAAAGAAAGAAGCAAAACAGGTAAGGGACACAGAAATGGGAAACGATCTGTTGATTATGATATGGTCTATGGTATGGCCTATCTTTGACTGAACCAACGTACAGTGTATTCATGATGGGAAAATCCATTTGGTATGTTGTAATGATGCACAGTGATTGAATATAAAATAATTAAATAATAATACACAGCCACACTGCTACATTTACATGCAGACAAGTAGAGTCCAGTGTGGTTAAGTGCATGGGGATTGGGCTCAGCTAGACTTAGGGTCAAGCCCTTCGCCGTTTTTGTTAACTCTGTGGTCTTAGGCAACTTAGCTCCTCCCGGCCTCACCTACCTTCTCTACAATGCCGCAGTATCATTGGTGGCTACCTCACTGTACCAAAGTTAAATGAGCTCATAGGTATACCGTCTTCCCTTGTTATCCACAGGGGGTTGCTTTTAGGACCCTTGTAGATACCAAAATGGGAGGATGGTTAAGTTTCTTATATAAAATGGCATATTGTTTATATATAATCTACACACATCCTTCCATATCCTTTAAATCATCTTTAGATTACTTATAATTTTTTTGTTTTGAGAGGATTTTGATATAGGGCACATGCCCTCGCCAGAAAGAGACAGACAGAAAGCGAGAAATCACCCCTCCAGGAGCAATGGCCACGCTGCAATCTCTTCTCCTCCATTCTCCTCTTGGGGTCTTGGGCACACATGCACCCAGCGTGAGTTTAAGCCACCGGGTCTAGGACTCGAACGGCAGTTGACTACGTGAAGAGTTCAGCGACATAGCCATTTTACGCCAACTGCTGGTCCCTAGATTACTTATAATTCTTAAGACAATGTAAATAGGGAACGACAATGAGGAGAAAAATCTGCACATGTTCAACGCAGACACAACTGTTGCAGGCCTACCTGTGTAGTACACGTCATCGACAAAGTAACATTTTGAACCCACAGTTGGTTGAATCTGCAGCTGTCTGAGGCTAGCAGGGTCAGCTCTAAATGCTTTACACTGTACTGGGATGTACTAGCAGTTATTGAGTGGTTATCTAAACATTAGGTAATACGTAGTTATCCAAATGGTTTTATGGGGCCAGCTGAATCCCACGTGGCCTATTGCACCGTTCAAGTCTCGAACGTGGCAGCTTGAAAAACACACTGGGCTTGTGTGCATGCGTACCTAAAATCCCAATAGGATGGAGAGGTGGACGAAGAGGGATTGCAGCATGACCATTCCCCATGGGGAGTGCTTTCTCACATGCCTTCTCTCTCTCTCCCTCTCCCCTCTGCGCCCCACCCCCTGCCCCCGTAAATACACACATCCTCTGGCAAAACTAAAATAAATAAATAATGTTACAATGTATTGTATGTAGGTTATAAAATAAAGCATATCCCTTTTTATTGCAGTAACAGTCAGTAGTTTATTTTGAGCACGCAAGGATAGGGATGGCTTTTTAATGTTCTTCCTTGTCGGGGTCGTGTCGTACACACTGCGTCTGGGTGGTGACATTCAGCTCTTAATTTTTTAACTTTACGGCCCTTTCCTTGATTACATTTCAAGATGAACCCCCCCACCCCATGATCAGGAGGCTGACCTTGAGACTAGGCCGCAGGAGGGGAGGAGGGACTGTATTCCAAGTCCATTTCCTGGCCCAGTGACTGAGCAGTCAGCCAGCATGCCACCCCCCTCGTGTGTGCAGACCCTGCTCTGAGCATTGACATGTCGGCCACTCTGCGGTGCCAAGGTCTCTGAATGCTCCTCTCTGCTATTGTGCCTCTTTCTCCCCAGAGTGGACATCGCTGGTTTCTTGGCTATTTCGTTCTCCTTACTGGTGGAAAAAACCCAGGCCTAGGGAATCCCAAGCACTGGGTAGAGGTCCAGAAATCTGAATTTTATTAAGCTCCCCAGGTGATTCTGAGAGGTGTCCTGGCATGGGAGCCACCACTAGGGCCCTCCAGCTCTGCCTGTCTCCTGAGGGAGGAAGTGCTGGTTAGTGTCTTGTCCAGGTGCCTGGAGGAGGCCCTGGGGGAGCTGAGCGGAATAGCCCCGAGGCTCCAGGAGGGCAGCCACCCCTCCAGCCCTTGCCTCTCTCAAGAGAGACAGAAACAGTGGGAACAGCAGGCCAGACTGATGGGCAAGGGACATTTTCTTCTTCTCTGGTGACCTCCTGGGTCAGGCAAGCCTTCCAGAGTGGCCTGAGGCAACCGCTCTGCAGAGCTGGGTGGGCCTTGGGCACTGCGGTACAGCCCAGCTCCTTCATCACAAGGCACCTGAAGAAAACTTCAAACCTTGCATATGCTGGCATCCCTCCTGCTAGGACCGGTTCTGTGGTTCAGTGTGGCAGAATGCTTTCCAAGCACCTGCTCTGTGCCAGGTGCTGAGCTAAGACTTAGGGAGCTGAGATGGGACACACATCTCTGAAATGCCAGTGGTCCCCTGAAGGGTTCTTCAGAGCGAGTCCTGAGCATCAACTGCAGCAAAATAGCATTGTTAAAAGTGTGGATGTCAGCACCCCCACACCGGGCACTTCTGCAGAATGGTCTGGGCCCAAACACCTGTGACTTCGGAAGCCTTCTTGAGGGAGCTTATTTACCCTGAAGTTTGAGAACCAGTAGAAATTAGTTACCTAAAAGGAAACAAAGTGAATGACTCCAGTCTTATATGCATTGTATAAAATACATATAAACATAATGGAAGAAACGAGAAGCATTTATTTTAGCCTTTCCCTCATAAGTTAATCATCCTTACTTAGCATTTCATAGAACGGCCCTCTACTGATGGTTGTCCCCCTTTATTCATGGGGAATCTGTTCCAAGACCCTTAAGAGATGCCTGAAACCATGGATGGTACCAAACCCCATATATACTGTGTTTTTTCCAAACATGCATACCTATGATAAAGTTTAACTTACAAATTGGGCACAGTAATTGATTAATAACAGGAACTAATAATAAAACAGAACAATTATAGCAATATGCTATAAAAACATTGTCATGGGAGACCAGCAGTTGGCGTAATGGCTATGTCACTGGACTCCCATGTAGTCAACCATGGTTCGAGTCCCAGACCCGGTGGCTTAAAACTCACGCCGGGCGCGTGTGTGTGTGTGTGTGTGTGTGTGCCCAAGATCCCAAGAGGAGAATGGAGGAGAAGGGATTGTGACGTGGCCATTCCCCCTGGGGGGTGATTTCTCACTTTCTGTCTCTCTGTCTCTCTCTCTCTGTCTGGTGAGCACACATGCCCTATAGTGAAAACCTCTAGAAAAAAAGAAAAAAAAAGTTATGTGACTGATCTCTCCCCCTCAACATCTTATTGTAGTCTCAGCCCTGGTGACACAGGCTGTAAGGTGCCACTGGACGATGCTGGAGCCGCAGGGAAGGGCCCAGGGTTCAGATCCTAGACTGACCTGAGCCCCACAGTCACGCCTGGGCACCATGATGATGCCGGCTGGCCAGAGAGCTGGGGGGAGGGATTCGTGACCAAACGCTGTGGGGAGTCTGTCCGTCTCCCCTCTCTCTCAGAACAAAAGAAATAAACTTTTAAAATATCTTATTGGAGGGCTGATCTCATAACTTAGTGATTCAGGAAGCGGGATCTTACATGACAACCGTGGTTCAAATCCCAGCCCCAGAGGCTTGAAAATACGTATGTGTGCATCCTCCACACCCTCACAGGATGAAGTGGAGGAGAAGGCATTGTGCCATGACCATGACCCTACTGAGGGGCACGTTCTCTCTTTCTCTTTCTCTCTGTCTCCCTTCTCTCTCTGGTGAGCACATATGCACTCTGGCAATAAAAAAAAAAAAAAGGAAAGAAGAAATCCCTATTGTGCAGATAACTGAAACCATGGAAAGCAAAACAGTGGACAAGGAGAAATGTGTGTGTGTGTGTGTGTGTGTGTGTGTGTGGACACATTTTATAGCATCCACGTGGAGCCTGACCTGTAAGTCCTGGGGATGGAGGAGAAGGGAACGGCCTGGCCACAGAGCATCCGCAGCCGTGTTCCATGGTGCCCGGCGCAGCTTGAAGCCAGCCTTGCTCACCTGCCCGCCTTCTCCCCACAGGTGTACATCATCAACGTGACCTGGTCCGACTCCACCTCCCAGACCATCTACCGGAGGTACAGCAAGTTCTTTGACCTGCAGGTGAGTTGGTCAGAGCTCAAGGTGGCCCGCGTCTCGGGTGGGCTGTCTTCTCGTGTCCTCACTCATCCCGAGGCCCCCCCGCTGTGCTGCTGGAGCAGTCGGGGCTGGGGGAGAGGGACAGCCGAAGAAGCTCTGCAGGGGAGCTGGGCTCACTCAGTCTTGGACGTGACACTCAGGGCTTTGTTGTCTTCTTCAGATGGTCTTAACACTCATGCTTTGTCACCCTCTTTCGCCTGGGGTGAGGAAGCCGTGCTGGAGAGGCGGGAGGATGGCTGTGGGTGCTGTGTGCTGAGCAGACGTGTTCTCTAAACAGCCAGGGTGAGGCACAAGCTGCCACATCACTTCAGGCAAAGAAAAGCAAACACGCAGGGGAGACCGAAACAGAAAACAAGCCATTTCTTCAATTACAGACACAGACTGGGCATACCGCTGTGTCTGCCTCACCACCCTGTTTTTTCATGTGTATGGTATGCATGTGTCTCTAACGTACGTAGTCGTGTCTGCACAGAGGGCTGGGAATATGGCTGCCACTGCAGACACCACCGCGATGCCAGCTAATTCAGCTAGGGCTCTTTGGCTACGAGTGGCAGTTTTATACGTGCACTGGCTCAGACAAAGGAGGCGTGGTGGGAAGACTGTCCCAGGGAAACCAAAGTCAGCAAGATAGGGAGAAGGGCAGGGAGGAGTGGGCTTCTGGAACGCCTGCAAGCATGATCTGCCCTTCCTCTGTCTCGTCTCTACCTTCCTCTGGCCCTTGTCCTCAGCTGCTGTTACCCCATACCTCGAGAACTTGGCTGTCAGCAGCTCTTGAGCTTTTTATCTTGGCTCCCAGGAGCTGAGGGCCTATTTCCCAGTTCTAACCTTAAAAATCTCAGGGAAGAGTCTTATTGACCTGACTTGGGTTGGGTTCTCTCTCTAGACCAGTCAGCACAGCCAAGGGTTGAGGGTCATGTCACACAGACACGGCTCCAAGGGGGTCCACCCCCATGTATCAGAGGCAAGTCCCAGAGAAGGGAGAATCACTGTGTACTGGGCAGCAACCCTCCCTGTTCCAGGAATGGAAAACCTAGCTAATAGTTCCTTCTTCAGGGCTGTAAGTCTGTTTAAGCCCATGAAAGCACAAAGAGGAGACAACCTGCTAGTCCTTACAACCTTTGCAGGCCTGGGGTGGTGAGTCATCTTGGAAAGGCCAGGCCTCCATGTTTGCCTCTAACACCTGATTTTATCTCACTGTCCTTTTGTCTCTACCTGAGACAAGCCAAAGGTGAGCCAGCTTCCTAGATTACAAATCCGCTCTTAATCCAACAATATGGGATTGAATATCCATTGAATTTGGGGTTGAAAGCCGCTCCTTCCCTCCCGCCTTCTGCCCCTTCCCCCTCAATTCCCGTCCAGTCTCCATGGGTCCTTCCGGCATAAACTGGTGGGATTTGCTGATACCCCATCAATGGGTGCAGTGTGCTGGACAGGAAATGATAACTCAGTTGGGGAGAGGGAACCCTGAAAGGGCTCATTGATGAGCTGGAGGGGGCCTGAAAGCCAGTGGAAACTTCCAAATCAGAACTTTTCTCCCCCCCCCCCATCTGGTCCATCACCCTCTCCCCAATTACAGAATCTCACAAGAAAGGAATGCTGCTCCCCCACGTCCCAGTGCCTGGAGGGCTCCTTTCCTGTGTGCCGGGAGGGGACGCGAGCATGGAGGAGTGTGTACACGTGCTGGTCTCAGCCGTGAGTGGCCATGACCAGGCCAGGCCCGTCCATGTGGGTGGTGCCACCCTGTAGAGGCGGTTTGGGAAGGTGTTGGATGGTTCTCTGCAATTTAACCTTTGAGCCAAGTGTCGCGTCTTTGTGAACCCATTTCAGAGGCCGTGGTGGCTTTAGGTGGCGTTCATCTTGGAACGCCTTTCTACTTTGCAGACGTTGCTGATTTCAACGTGGTGTCTCCTGCAGAGGAAGAGTAAATGGAATTGCTAACTCTCTGGGGGAATTGCTGAGCCTCAGAACTGAACTTCTGAGTTGTATGAAAGAGTGACCTGGAGTTTACACACTGGGAACACTTTGCCTGGGTGTAGTTGCTGGCTGTCGCTGTGTGACCCTGGACAGGCTCCTTCATTTCTCCCGTTTTCCCACTCATAGTAGGAAGATTGAATACCATCCACCAGCATGGCTGTTAGGGAGATGAAATGAGCAGTTCCATGTTGCTCCCGATACTGAGTCAGCTAGAGAGTTGTCTGGTCTTACCGAGTGACCACGACGCTGGGCCGCACTTCTGCAGGGTCTGGGGACTTACACCTACTCCCATCCCATGGTGTTGCTTTCTTGATTTCCTCACTTGGCTTCACTCTGCCATGATGAGGTGCCCTGTGCCAGAGTATCAGAGCCTCGTGGGTCACGGCTCCTCTCTGGAACCTGCCTCTGGGGCAGGACGAGAGTGTTGGGAGTTGGGGTGTGGCCCACAGGGGTTGTTCCCAGAAACCTTTCGCTCCTACCCCTTTGGGCTGAGCCTCACCTTGGACCCTGGAAGACCCATGCTCTCACTAAGCCAGCCTAGGGGAAGCTGCTGAAATTGAAACCAACTCGTGGTTCTGGACCTTCTGGGAACCACAGGCCCCTCCGTGAACTGGAAGAAGCCTTCTCCCCAGGAAAAGAGTGTCTCTGTGCAATTTTACACAGTGTCAGGTGTTCACAGGCCCATGGACCCCCAGTGACGAACCGCTGAGCTAACCGAGTTTAGGTCGTGAATCATACCACAGTTGGTCCGACTTGGGCTCCATTTGAGGTCTGTTTGTGACATTCAGATAAGAGCAGCCTGGACACCCCGGTGATGGGCCCCTGCATCTCTTCCTTGTCCCCAGTGGCCCTGTCTCCACTGTAGGTCTCCCTGTACTTCCCCTCTCTTATTTCTCCCTCTTCAGATGGTGCCTTTTGTTCCTGGCGGAGGTCAGGTTACTACCAAGAGGCCTCGGGTCCCACCTACTAATGTTACCCAGGAATCATGTGCAAAGGGATACCGAGTGGACCCTGAGCCTCCTCCAGCATGCAGTCAAGGGCCCTCGGGTATGTGCAGATCCGATTTCACTTGGAATAGCACACGGACCCTCTCCTTCTCCCTCTGGGGGGCAGGGGGGGAGGCGGACAGCTGTGCCCTGGCGTCATGCTCTGTAGTCATGAGGGTAGGACGTATTTGAAGGTGCTGCGTTATAGGTCAGAACAGAAACTGCGGTCTTGGGTTTTCCATTTCTCTCCATTCAGCTTCCATATTGGCACTGCCTCCCACATCCTGTCCCTCATTCCCACCTCTCTCCCCAGCCCTGGGTGCAGACCATCACTCTGGGTTGTGTTTTTAAAGCTTCCGCCAGGACCTAACTGTGCTGCGTCTGAGGCTCTCAGGAAAGCTTTGGAGATGAACGATCTCAGACACACCAGAGCAACCAGCCGAGGGGACAGCAGGCAGGAGGGAGATAGGAGCCGGAAGGCTTGTGCTGGGACAAGAGAAGTGACCATGGCATTAATGAGTCCCCTGCAGGGTACTTAGAGTTCTGGTGCTGTGTTGGGGAGGTATTCACAGGGACTGGGGGATGTCACAGGGTTAGGGGAGAAAAACCACAGATCGCCCAGTGACGGCTCATTCCATGCTTATCTGAAGCCTTTGGACTGTACAGAGCAGATCCCCTTATCTCCGTACCCCCATTCCCACCCCCATCACCCACACACTTTACTTTCTGGCTACTTGCTACTTATGAGCCCCTGGATTAGGGTTGCCAGATAAATATGAGCTATCCAATTAAATTTGAATTTTAGATTAACAATGAATTTTTTTTTAGGATAAGTATATTTCAAATATTGTATGGGATATACTTATTTGCTGTTTATCTGAAATTCCCATTTTACTGGGCCTTCTGTATTTTCTCTCGCTAAATGTGGCAACCTGCCCCGGCTGTGAGTGTGAATGGTGAGGCCGGAAGTGTAAAGATGAATAGTCCAGGCCGGCTCAGGGTAAGAGTTGGTTGGCCTAAGTTTTAATCTTCAAGGCATCTGACTCTTGCAGGGCAAAAGTAACACAAGCTGGAACTCAAAGTTGAGAAGGACAAGGTCCCTTCCTTCCAGGAGCCTATGTTTGGTGAGGAAAATAGTTTTTGTTGTTGTTTAGGTTACTGCCATAGGGTGTATGCACTCACCGGAGAGAGACAGAGAGAAAGGAAAAGTGAGAAATCATTCCCCCAGGGGGATGACTATGCTACAATCCCTTCTCCTCCATTATCCTCTGGGGATTTTGGGCACGCATGCATGTCCTGATTTTCAAGCCACTGGGTCTGGGACTAGAACCAGGGAGCTGTCCATGTGAAATCCAGTGCCTTAACCATCATGTCATCAGCTGGCCTGGGAAGATAGACTTTTAGGCAATTAAGCCCACTATAGATTAAATAAATATTAGATCAAGGTACATGTGACATTCTATGGAGCGAAGAGGAAGGAAAGAGCATTCTTCCTGGAGGGAGGAACAAAGAAGATGCCCATGTAGTCTTGATTGGTGACAAGAGTCAAGAGTGACAGAGCCCCAAGCCCTGACCCTGGTTTGGGGAAGGAGGATCTGGGTTTTTGTTGAGAATCATAGTGTTCTAGTCTGCTTTTTGTTGCTAATAATAATATCTGAGTCTGGGACCAGCAGATGGTATAATGATTATGTTGTTGGACGTTCACATAGTTGACCATGGTTTGAATCCCAGACCCAGCAGCTTAAAACTCATGCCAGGTGTGTGTGCATGTGTGCCCAAAGTCCCAAGAGAAGAAAGAGACGAATGGAAGAGAAAGGATTGTAGCATGGCCATCCCTCCTGGGGGGTGATTTTTCACTTTCTGCCTCTCTCTGTCTCTCGAGCTAGCACATGCTCCCTGTAGCAAACATCTCTCTTAAAACAAAACAAAAGAGGGGACCAGCAATTGGCATAATGGCAATGTTGCTGGACTCCCATGTAGCCGACTGCGGTTCGAGTCCCAGAC